TTTGGTATAATTTTTTTTCGTGTAGGAACTTACGTACAAGTCTATTTTTTTTCGTATGGGAACTTACGTACGGATATCCAGGGGTAATTTTTACCTGTTATATCTCGTGTGGGAACTTACATTCGCMCTTTTACTCATCAGGGCTTTTTTTTTAGGAAATATGCTACAACAATAATATACTACTACAGTCCCCTAAAGTGGAACATTTTAGAATAATAGAACTTTATTTTCTTTACATGTGTTATCTACGCTTTTGATGAAAATCGATATAATATTATTAAAACGGGAAGTAAGCTATTTCAGGTGACATCTTCGCGGAAACATCGTTCCGTAATCTTATCGCTGATAAAGTGACAATAATAATAAAAACGTACATCTACAAATATTACACATATAATGATGGGTTTACGCACAGTCACGTTCTTTAGCCTGCAGTCACCGTTTTCACTCGTAGTACTATTATAGTCAAATAAGTTTTGTATTTTGAAAGTGAATGATAATTAATATGTCTTGGTATAAAATTAATTCAAACCGTGGCCACCCGCTGTTAGTAGWAGATAATTATATACATAGGATTGATACATCTAATGAAAATAACAGACCATACGAGGACAATTATTAACCACAACTCAACAGGACTATAAGTCGACCACATCCAAACATTTTTATTTCGATCAAAGAACTAAAAAACCAGCAGCAAAATGTTGAGCTTGATATTCTTTCCTAAAAAAATGTAATCAAGCTCCAAAAATTAGAAAAAAGTACAAAACGTTGGAAGACAGACTAAAAATTGCAAAAGAGCGGTAAATAATAATAAATTTATTATACAATTATAATATTATATTAATTGTTACAATTATGTTTTAAATTTTAATTTAGCCTTGGGAATGGACAAATAACCATTATGGAATATCTAGACGCAATCATCTACCACTTTCATATGGAATAAAAAAAAAAATTACTAATTATGTTAACTTATTAAGTTTTTAGCTTTTATGTCTTAAATGACTTTATATGATTTTATTTRACTTATGTGAATTTTTAACCKGACGATATAAATAAAATTAATATTTTTTTTTAACTTACAATGAAACAAAATTGTATTTAATTATGATTCAGCGAGTTGGGTTTCGGCGAGATGGGTATCGGCGAAATGAGTTTTCGGCGAAACGGGCCTAAATCTAAACTATATATTATAATATTAATTTTTCAATAATAGAGGTTTGTTTTGTTATAGTCTTAAAGGCAAATAAACGCATTCAAAAAATAAATATTTATTCTGACTAGATTATACTTTTGATAAATAAATTGTTTGAATAAAAAAAAAACATATTGTTTTCAAACTGTAAGTAGACAATTATTTAAAACATAACTAAAACTACTTACATAATATAAGACKTAAGTTAACTATGTGTCGATGTTGACTTTATAGGTAATGTTTAACAAAACAGCAATATTGACTTACATGAGTGGTAAATTTGATATACTTAGATAATTTGTTATATAAATATTTAAATTTTGAATTAAAATTAAAATTTGTACCATAAACTGTGCCCTATAGGTATAGTTATTATAATTTATATCATGATTAATATTAACTGTTATTTACTAAATCATTACCCATCAGTTATCACTCGGCATATAATAATTAATTATCTTATCACAACAATCAAAACACATAAAACTAAATAAGGGGATTGAATAGGCAACCTACTATAATATGAAGCGCTACAGCGCCCCGTAGAAAATCTACGAGATTCCCGTATTCTAATGCAGTGGTTCTCAACCTTTTTTATACGACGACACCTTAATTTAGATCCATAAAAATGGCGACACACTTAAAATTTTTTTTATGGATTTTTGAAAAAGTAAAAATTACAAATCTATGTAAATTAATACATTTAAGTTCATGTTAGCACTTTATTTGAAAAAAACAAATCTTTTAAATTTACATAATCAAAATATAAACAATTTAAATTAGGTAGTAAAAAAATATTATTATAAAAACAGTGTTAGTTTATAATGGAAATTAGTGCGATACTTGTGATTGGCGAATTGAACATARGTCTTCAATTCGTGGGCGAATTGTTGACAAACTTACGCGTAATTCRCTTTCAATATCTTTAAGCGTTGACCTTTTTTTGGTTTTCGTYACTTCTAATATCGAAAATGCTGATTCACACATATATGATGTTGAAAAAGGAAGCAAAATTTGCAACGCTTTTTTGCTCACTTCTGGGTATTCGTTTTGCAAAGAAATCCAAAATGAATCATTTTCAGACATATAAAATTTAGATTTTAACATGGTATCTGATGATATTTCTAATAAGTGTTCTTTTTCCGTAGAAGATAAGTTTGCATTTTTAATATTTTCTTCTCCACATGGAAAATAACTCTTTAAATTTCGAGAAAGTGTCAATAAATGTTCGTRCATTATATTTTTTAATTCCGTTTTTTGATTTATGCTAAAATCATCATTTTTTATGCATGATAACCATAAATTAATTTTTTTTTTGAAACTTTCCATTTTATCACTTGTTGAAATTATGTTTTCATTACGACCTTGCATACTCGAATTTAAAACATTTAGTTTTTGAAAAATATCAGCAAGGTAAGCTAATTTAGCACACCACATTTGATCATCAATTTTATTTGCATAATTATTTATGTTTTCAGCTTCAAAAAAAATTTGTAATTGATCTTGAAGTTCCAATACA